AGGAGATAGGAGAGGACCAAGATACCTCACGACCAATGGAGTAGTCCCGACACGGACAACAATGTCCTTTGCTGAGCAACATGGGTATCAGGCACAAATGCTAGGGATTTCACGAGGCTCATATACGGGGTTTAGGGTTTAGACAGAACTGGCAGAAGTTGTAGCTTCTCGGACCTTTCTTGCTTTACATATTTTATCTGACAGGTTCTTATAGTAGTCCTGAGAAAAAAGGTAGAAGCAGGGCAAGCTGGCAGTCAATCCTCCACGATGTTGGAGTAATCAATGCTGATCAGGGTTCCTTCGGCCAGACGGAAGGAAGCGTGAGGGTGTTCTATGATGTATTTATTTTCCCCGACTTGCTGGTGGAATAGGAACCGGACTGATGCTCCCCAGAATGGAAATGGAGCCAGGGCCATAAGGACCTGTTATAAAAAAAACATCTAGATGTGTATAAGAGACAGTTCCTACCTTAAAGGGGAAGAGCGTGTGCGAGTCCTGTATGTATTTCCTATGGCTTGCCGGTGGAATGGGAACGGGACGGACGCTCTCCAGAATGGACAAGGAGCCAGAACCATATGGTTCCTTTTTTTTTTTCCAAAGGCGCCAAACTAATAAGTGCCGGGTAGACGACGACGAGCAACAACGCGCAGCACAGTTAAAGTTCACCAAGACCTGGCTGGTTGAAGGAAAAGTCGCTGAGATATAGAACTCTTACCTACGATGTAAGGAAGGCCATAACTCGTGAGGAGATAGGAGAGGACCTGTCTCTTATACACATCTAGATGTGTATAAGAGACAGCCTACCTGGTTACGATATCTTGAGTACTGTGTGGGCGCATGTCGCCAGTTTGCTGTTTCGCTGTTTGCATGCATGACAAGTGTGAAGAAGTTGAGTCTGATTGCATCTGAAAGGATTCATGAGCTGCTGCAGTACAGCCTGGGTACTGTGTCATATTTTCTTTTGTCTTTTGTATCTTAGCCTCCAACAAAAAAAAACTTCAAAAAAGAAAATAAGAAGAACCTCCAAAAAGAAATGCGGGAAAATAAACTGAACTACTTTTGCCTCAGAGTCACATCGAAATTCTTCACCAAATTCCAAATAAAAAATAAAATTTAAAAATACATTTTTATTTTTACTTTTCTATTCGTTTTTTGCCCGGCCGGGCAAGTGATCCCGGGCCACTCTGGTAGCCTAGTTTTATTTTTATTTTTTTTGGAACCGGTCTGGCAAAAGGTCCCGTGCCACTCTGGTAGCCTATAATTTTTCATTTTTTTACTTTGGTAGTATTGGTAGTCTTTTTTTTTTTTCTTTTTTTTTTTGGGGTGGGGGGGGGGTCGTTTTTTGAAATTTTGGCCGTTTTTTTTTTCTTTTTTTTTTTGGGGTAATCCTCTTCACCCATCGCAGCATCTGCACAGGAAGTTGCCTGGGACGGGGCTACGAGGACCGGGGCAGGGGGAGCCGCTGGGAGGATGAGGGCTGTCTCTTATACACATCTAGATGTGTATAAGAGACAGGTCCTTTAGACTGCGCAGACCGCTTGAGGGACTCAACCGGGATCAGATTCAGAGATTGCCGGCCGGGACCCGGGAGTTCGCTGTACAGCAC